ACTTGAGAATGTGAGACTTATATGTTGGTGATACTTTTATAATATGATAAATCACTGCAAGAAAAAAAAAAAAGAAATATTTTTAAAGCCACGAGGATTTTTTTTTTCCTTTTTGTCTACAGAAAGCAGCCCAAATCCCAGTGTTTCATGTATACTCTTCAGGTCATAAAAACGGCTGCTTTCAAAATGTAGATGATCCCCATATGCTTAATGAAATCACCCTTTGAAGGTCAGTAATGAATTTACATTGTTTTTTAACAATTGTAAAATTAAATTTTAGTGTCAGAAGCAGAATGAAAGTGACCTTTATTCTGAATAAAATTTTTTTTTTGGTTTTTTTTTTTTTTTTTTTTTTGTCTTCAGGTCATTTTCTGCTTCCTGGAGATGTTTGGAATTTCTTACTATGCAGCCTTTCTTTTCTTTTGCTCATGTCTTTCTAATACCAGACCTCCTTTTCCTTTTTCACACTTGCCTCCTTTTAACCTAATAACAGCTGTGTGATTGACTGTAGCATCTCCCTCACAATGAAAATGCACTCAGGATATTATTTAAATAATAGCAGAAGGGTAGACTGCCACTTCAGGTATGTTGTTCACCTTGTAAAATGCAAGCTTGCCCTGGTTTGCTGAGCAGCAATTTATGTATTTACCATGAGTTGTATTTCATCATACAAAACTTCAACTTGCAAGTTAGGTGCTGGCACTGGCACTGTATTTTTGTATGTTTGCCACAAGATCTTTAGTAGAAAGATTATTCTAGATAGGTTAAAAATAGATTTAATAGATTATTCTATTTCTTCAAGAGAATAAATTCCCTATTTGCCACATGGTGGTGCCAGAGGGTAAGTAAACCAAATGTCCGCAAATTGCTGAATGAGGTCTCCATGAGCAAGAATGTAAATTATTATGTGAGTGGCTTACAAATAATAGGCTTTTGTGGAACTTTGGTAATTGCCCCGTGGATGTTAAAAGTTAACCTTTTCAACTACGTATGTCATTTTACACATCTCCAATTAGAAGCATGATGTGAGTTTTTGTGGAAGAGGGAATTATTGTGGTGTCGATGTATGGCAGTAATGAATCTAGTTTGGAGAATAGTCTTTCATAATAAAAAAAAAAGCTTCATTAAAGTGTACTTTTAATCTAATGATAGGGAATTCATTATCAAATATTGCTATAAATGCAATGTAAGTGGAGAGGTGCTGCTACTGTTTTCACAGAGTTATTTTATTGTGCAAGTAGAATTTTTAACACCAACTGTTATTTTTAATCTACATGTGATGTTCACTGTTACTAAATTCCTATTTAAAAAAAATAAGTGAGAAAATAGGAGAATTATGTGATTCTGTTGCTAATAGTTTCACTTTGTTTTCCTTTAGAACCATAGTTTTCAGTATCTGGGGATGCAGTGTAGTTTTGTTTAGAGGTGTGTGTATCAGTAATTCATGGCAGGACTGGGTTGTGATAGTCCTGGTCTGTTGATGTGTTTTGTAATGATATTTTTATGACTGGTATGTTTACATCAATACTCGAGTAAAATCAGTTATAAAACAAATCTGGCTTTATAATGTGAATTAACTAACTCCTCTGTTCTGATGTTAAATTTGTTAGTAGCTTTGGAAGATTACTTACTTTTTTTCTTTTTGGTGATGAGAAGACAGGTAATTTGAGTGGCGTAACGTTTTGTCGAATAAAAAAAGAATTAAGGAAATATATAATGACTATGAAAATCCTGATTCAAAGCTTCAAAGGAAAGTTTCTTATGTATCATGCTTTTTTTTGCTTTTCCATTCCTGCTTATGATGATTCACAAGTTTTACACATGTACTCGGTGAGGGAAAGAAGTGCCGTCACAGAATTGGAACCATAAGCTTTATGCACAAATCTCTGGGCTTTATTTCATGGCAAGTGAACAGGCTTGAGCTTTTATTTCTGTAACTGCAATGCTAGACATTTCTAGAGTTGTTAAGAAGCTCTGTATTTTACAGTGGGTATATGCTAGGAGCGCTGGAGAAAGAAAAGCTGCTTGTGGTAGTAAAATGCATATTTTTGGGGGGAAAAAACTTGTAAATATTTATTCTGTTGTCTGCTTTTGAGGAACAGTATGGATTTTCCTGAAGCTTTATGTGATCATCTTTCAGCTGAGATAAAAAGCTGATATCAAAATAACGTTTTTGATGTTTAAAAGCAAAGTTAATCAGTAGTTATATTTCAGTTGAACATTTAAACGAACACTTCTTTTCTGTAAATTTATGCATGATCTGCTGTCAGTTGTTAAAGGAAAGATACAGCTTCAACAGTATAGAAGGCCTAAACCTTAAGAATTGAGGCTGAAGACCTGCTTTTATATATAACATACTGTTAAGTTCTGAATCTGGTATTTTATGTGTAGTCACCTGGCATGGTGTATTTGTGAAGCTGTGATAAATCCACTGTGCTGGACACATGGGATGCCACCTGCTTATCCCTGGCCTTGCTCGAGTCTGTGAGCTGTTATCGGGCAGTGCGCAGACTGCTTTCTGCTGCTGCCAGCTAAATTCCATATAGATAAGCATGGCTGTAAAGCAAATTATGAGATTAGTACTAAAATCACTTGAAAATTCTGAAAGTGGTTTCTAATGGGAGATAAAACTCAAGAGTCTCTTTCTTTCTTTTTTGTAGGTCTCTCAGAACAGAAGCATAGTCTTGTGGTGCTCCTCTGAAATATCTAATACTTGATTTCCTTCTTGTGGTTGCAGTTTGGGCACTTAAAAAACTTGTGGTTCATTTTGGAGTTTTGAACTTCATGGCAAACCATTGCAAAAGTTGGTGGCAACTTCTTGAAAATTTTGTGAAGGAACGTCAGGAAGCTCTTGCTCCACGACCCATCAGAGGGCTCGGAAGAGTCATGCTAAAGCTTGACAGTAAGGTATTTCTACTTACTTCCTTAAGCAACCTGGAAGTTTGTTTTATTCTCTGTTCACTGTTTGCTGAGACGCTTTAATTCTAAGATAAATGTCTGTCACTAATGGACATGTCTCTCATGTAAAACTATATCTGTTTTATGGTGTATTTTAAACCATGTCTCTTCTGTCACTATTCACACTTAAGTACATATTTAAACTTCGTTAAATGATTATATGCAAAGCTTGACAGAAATCACTTTTTAAGTGTTGAGTTAGCTTTAGAAGATTCCTTATCTGTGTTAAATGAAACTTCTCACGGTTCAGTCACCTTACCTGATTACAAACATTTTGAAGTTAAACTTAATGAGCTTTAATCTGTAGGATGAGATGTTCTTACTTCTGTTGTGAAAACTTAATTTAAATAGCAACTGATTTTATTCTGTAAGTCGGGCCTGAGCTAGTTCGAACACATTTGTTTATGTTGTCTGGAAGTATAGTTGTTTAACACAGTGGCATGGTGGTACAGAAGGGAGAATTCCCTCTGGAAGATAAGAATTATGTGGGATAAGGTATTTGGGAAGTGCCATAGAATAAGGCTTCTGTGCTCCCCTTCCTTCTCCCTCACTCAAAATGTGCCCACATTTACATTGCTAATTGCAGAGTTGGAGAGCTCCATAAAATTTATAAAGGCTCCTCCATTCAGAATTGTACATTTTGACTTAACCTGATAGATTATTTTGCTTGTAAAACCTATGCCAGTGTGTAAGAATGTGCTTGCTATAACTGTGTTCTTGAAGTATTCTCTGCCTTAGAAAGAAACATTGCCTCAGAGTTTCTATAACTGAAGAGCTGAACCCTGTAAGTACATTTGTCAGAGCATCTGTACCTCGACAGATCTGTCTGCAGTTTATGGCTCTGAATTCCTACAGGAAAACGAAGAGCTTAAGCCCGGATCTAATGGGTAAACGGATGTCAGAAGGTCAACAAAAGCATTAAAATGCTTTAGGAAATAAGTAACAGTGTCACAGAGGAAGAATTTGAAAAAGGAAAAGCCCAGAATACAGCTGTGAACAAGATAAAGGGAGGTTCCATACGTAGCCAGAAATATTAATGTGTTAGCATAAAAGCTTACATTATACAAAGCTTTTCATCAAAAGCTTTTATTTTATAAGTAAGAATACTCTCCAGACACGATATTGTATGTATTGTATTTCATGAGTTGTCAAATTTAGTACCCTTGTATTGTACAACTATATGACACAGTATGCTTCCTAATTCCACAGTCTTTTCTCCTTAAAGAAGGTAGGGCTTTTGTTGTAATGTGCAGCAGAACTTTCCACTCTACAGCTTAAATGTATTTAAGGTCAGTTTATATTGGTGGTGTTCTTGTCTAAGCAAAAGAACAGTGTTGACGCAACTCATTTCTCCATCTTCCCTCTCCTCCCATTTTTTAGGTGATAGTCATATTCCTTCTGAGTCTGCTGTGTGTATTAAATCAATTAAAGCTCTACTAGCCTTTATAAGAAAGACACTAGATACTCTGCATGATTCTGTTTGTGCTTATTCTACTTACGGTTCACCTGGCTTTATCATGGGTGGCTGGAATTATTCATATGTGGTCTTCCAATCCTTATCACACTAACACTTTCAGATCTTTTAACTTCTACTGGATATGCTTATTCTGTGCATTGTAGGGTCATGGATGTGTCCTATCTCTAAGACTTTGTGAAGCATTGCCGTAGAAAATTGGCAGTTGTCATTTTTATGGGGTCAGGGAAAGGAGAGGAATGAAAATGACATCCTTGCAAGTTTTTTTTTCAGAAAGGATGGACGAGCTGTATTTAAGTTGGATTACCAAACAATTTGGCTTCAGTATGCACTGTTGAAAAGGAAGTGAAAATATGCGAACACAAAATAGAAATTAATGGAGTAAATTGCTACAGCTTACCATTTGTGTATGTGAGAAAATAAGATTGAAGGATCATTTCCTTTGCAATTACATATTTAATTTTTTAACACTTTATTTGTACTTTCTTTTCCTGGGAGCTGAAGCTGCTCAGCTGTTTGTTTGTTTGTTTTTTGTATACTGAGCCATTTAGGAGGCTGAATCTCTGCATCAGGGTGTATTTGGGCTCTGAGCTAAGTACAACAAATCATTGGCAAGGTCTGTTTCACACAAATACTCATACTTGGTCTTTCTAAAGTGGTATGCCCAATTAGGAAATAGTTCAAGTTTTGAGTAAAAGGTAGTGAGGACGTGGAATACATTTTAGAGTGGCATCTCTTTTTCTCCCAAATGAAGTTTAGGAGGCTCATGTAGATGGTTGGAAAATAACCCATTGTGTGAAATTATGGGGGAGTACTGCTCATGCATGCAAATCTTTGAGCTTTTCTGATTATGTCTGTTTTTTACATAAAAGTAGTAAGAAAAGAACTGCTTTTCCTTCTTACTGCTCATCAACCTCTGGTTATCTTGGAAATGCAGACAAATTTGAATTGGAGGAAAGCTCTGACCAAGAGGAAAGAAAGTAGGGCATTGCTTTTCATTTTCTTTATAATCAGTAGCTCAAGCTGTGCCTGTATGTGCAGCCTGCTTTAAATAATGACTATGGAAATAGGATGTCCTTACTGTATTCTTTAGTCCCTTGTGGATTTGCCAAGTGGAGCCAACAGACACAGCAGTTCAGATCTGAGAGCCTTCCTGGAGGAAAGAGTAGGGAGGTTTCTGTTGTCCTGTTGTCATCCATCAAGTCATTGTACAACTTAATAGGTATGGTGTCATGCATGTTCTTATCAACCATTAAGAACTGGTAACTTGCTTCAGTGATTTTTTTTTAATTTTTTTTTTTAAAGACAACCTGTCTTTTAATATGGTGACTGTAGTTTTATTTTTATTAGAGTTTGCAAGGCAGTTCAGTGGCATAGGCAGTTGCTCAACTGCATGGACTAGACTTTTATTAATTAGAATGTGCTAGTATTTTATATGCGTACTTTCTGGTAGACCTCAGCGAATCATGTAGTTATTATATGCTTTTACTAAGCATAGCATACTAGGATTTTATATATGGAGGACTGTAATAGATAGATTGGAATTGGGTAAAGTCAGGGTTTGGTTCTTCTGGTACCAAGTTTAGTACGTAGTTAAAGCAAGCATAGGAAACAGGCAGAATCTCTACCAGTGCATATATTGTTCTAGGAAATGCTTCCACAGACATGTAAGATCTTATATAAATAATTTTCCAATAAAATACTGGAAAAGCCGTATTAATTTTGGATTACTTGAATATTAGAATTAAACTCTAGCTGATTTTTAAATGTAGATTATTGTATTTGTAGAACTACTTAACCATCAGTATTGGTAAGAGAGTAGGCAGGTAGAGCCTCCCAGATATTGTCTTCAACATTAATAAAAAGATTATTGTTATTTGTGACATAAAATATTATTTCCTAGTTACAGTATTTATCATCCTATTCCAGGAGGCTGAAATTATAGAAAAATACAGAAGACTTCCTTTCATGTTCTGCTAAAATCTCAGGCTAAAAATAGAGCTCTAGCTTTTATTATATTGGAGTTGCAAAGTGGAAAAATACAGCTAAGAGATCTACATTTTTTCCAAAATTAACCTAATGGATAGTGGGTTTTAATATGCAGAAGTAAAGTTAAAGGCAAAAGTATGTTGTTGAGTCAGTAAACAACTTTTACCTTTTTTCACTGATAAATGATTCCATAGGTGAAGAGGTAAAATAGAAAAAAGATTCTTCAGTGTCAATGTCAGGCTTTTGAAGCTTTGTCATTGCTTTCCATTACTGTAATTCTTTCCATGGGTAGTAAAAGCTAGTAAAACTGGGTGCTTGGTGACATACTTTATTTTCATGTTTCGTAATGTTCATGGTTTTTTGTAAGTCTGCTTCTTGCTTCTGATATAACTTAACATTCTGAGATATTTTTAATCTAAATATTGTTATATTTTGTTTTCATTGGGAGCTAAGATAATTTCTGGCAACTGATGAAAACACTAGCTTTATTTGAGCATTCAATGATCTTGTTTCGATGAGAAACAAACTTCACTTACTTGATCTTAACCTCTAACACAGATCAGTAATAACATTAAAGTTTTCTCTGTTGTGATTGTGCTGCTGATTACTAATGGCTGGAATTAAGAGTACAATCCTACACAAACTAGGTCCTAAAATTGGTGTGCTTGAGAAGTATGGGTGAGAATTAGTAAGGATAGATAACTGCAGTACAAAAGGAGAAATTAACTGTTGAAAAGTACAAAGAGCCTTCTGCACAACCAATAAAATTATATGAAATCCATACATTTATTTGATCTACAATTTGCTGTTGTATGTATATCAGATTTAGTTACATATGTGATGTTGTGCCATTGAATATGAATGTTGTAGTATGAATGTGGTACTGAAAAAAGAAACCATAAAAATGTGTTAAACAGTAATAGGAGTGCTTTGAAATACGTAGGAAACTGCCTGAATGGAGGTATTAATGCAATAAACAAGTATCTCATGTTAAGTTTTGGTGTTTCAATAAAGTGCCCTTCTCGGAGTACTTTTACAAGTCCTGCTCTGAAATCTGAAATGTTAGCTTTCAGTATAATTAAACTGGAATTGCCCAGATTATGCTGAGAGCTCTGTCTGTATCCTTAAAGTTCTTACTTGTTAAATCCCTTTGTTTCAAAAAGTGCATGTTAAAAGTAAAATCTAGATTCTTGCATTAGAAGTTGTTACGATCTTTCCTTCTTATTGCAGTTTACCTTTGTGTCTGGAACAATTTCATTTTCATTCTATGGATGACTTTGCCTGCCTCTCATTGCTTTTTTTCCCCTCTCTATTACTGCATTTTTCAATAATTTTCCACTGTGTTCTTGTCTTTTTTTCCCTTTTCTTCCATCTCCCCCTGCCACTGACAAGCTGTGGCACTGGCTTAATAAGAAGGTAAATAAACAAAAAATTGTGATTCCAACTAGTGGATTCTGTGGTTTTGGGGAGTGTTTTTGTTTGGTTGGTGGTTGGTTTTTTTGTTTTGGTTTTTTTTTCAGCATGAATACTCCTTAACATGCCTTGCTTCTTAGTTTTCTCTCACAAGTGACCCTTCCAGCTCTTGGTATAAGCTACTGAAGGTCATATAATTCTACCTGATCTCTTGTCTTCTACTAAAATGAATGCACATAGTTAAATGTTTTGTGGAGCAGAATATTGCATTAGCCTTCCAAGCAGTACTTTGATTTAGTGGCACTTCTATTTAAGAACAGTTGATATCTATCTGGTCCCCGCTTGTATGCGTAACAAAACCAGTTCTCTCTCAGACTGGAGAGTTATTCCCCGCTCAGAGAAAGCATCAGTTAACAGAATTAATATGGGAGTGGTGAGGGTGAAGCTCAGTGGTAGAGCTATACATGTAAGTGCTTGCAAATAGTGCATTGACTGGCTTCAGTAAAAGTAATCTTTTACTTTTGAAGTGTCTGACTGTCCCGTGTGGTCAGTGGTATTCCATGTAGCAGGAGTGAAAGGAGAATACTTGTCTTGAGTACATCTCAGAACTGCTGCATCTAACAACAGTCTAAAGGGAAGTGAGGGCTAGTTAAAAAAAATAATATATACAATTATAACAGTTGGTATAGCTAAAATAATTTTTCTTTTGCAGGGCTCTTAAAAGCGTGTGATGTGTTTCATAAGAAATGTACTCCTCAGTTCCCATGGTTCATCTTAGTCCCCTGGGGCCAACTATTGTTCCTTGGGGACCTGTTACCCAAGAGGAGTTAAAACTGATTCAGTCCTTATTTGGCCCCATGTGTGACTGAAATCTGGACAACTCCTCAACGCGGTGATAGCTCTCTGGGTCTTGGGCAGTGTCATTGCTTCAGACAAGCGCAGAGCTGGAGAGAGATGTCTGGAGCCTGTGTTCATCTGCAGGACCCGAGAGTTTTAAAGATGAAAATCTAGTATGTGATAAAAAATATGAAAACGAAGTAATTAAGTGAAAGAGAAAAAAAATCAAATACCGTATCTGGAAACGGGTTATACTTCCAGCAGTAACTTTTATCCTTACTTACCGCTTCAGTATTAGTGGGAGATCTGGAGTGGTTACTGTGGTTTTATAAACAGCAACCCGTTCTTTATATTCAATAGCAACGACAGTAGAAACCATAGATCTGCCTTGCGTGTTTTGAAAGACACCTGAGATACTGACTGTTCTGAATGCTGTTGAGAACAAGCAGAGCAGAGTGGAGCAGTCAGACCATGGGGACACGGGCACAACTCTCTAAAAGGTTCTTGTAAACCATGAAATGGGGCTGCACAGCTGGTTATGTGCCGTGAGTGGAAAATGGGGGATAATGCTGCATGTTGTGTCCAGGCTGAGCAGCTATAATGAATTTAGAATGTTTGATCTTAAGTATTTAATCCGTGAGCTCAGGGTTATATGATGAGGGTCTTTCTGTGTTTCTCAACAAGCGGGTAGAGTTGCTTGCTTTATGATTCAGTTATAGTTGCCCACTAAGAGGGAAAACTTTGAATGTTCTTTTGCCCTTGAATATAGTTTATTTGGTTTAAAATTACATTTTTATTTCCTGACTTTGAGATGTTTGTGTTATGTGAGTGACTTATGACTAGTAAATATGTGCAACCATAGCCCTTCATAAATTTTTTTTTTATTAGGTATTGGTTTGTTAGGACAGTTCAGGTGAAGAGCTGAGCTCAGTGAACCAAAGGTCAAAGTTTAGTCTCAACTTTTTTTTTTTTTTCTGGCTTGGAGTTTGTTATTTACTCATTTGAAAATTCCTTTATGTAGATAACTTTTTTTCTTAATATTGATAGGTTGCAAAATTAATTTCACCGTAATTATTTTAAACCCTGAAATGTCTGAATTTTATTTTTACTTTAAAGAATTGCACTGTTGGGCAAAACCCTGAGGACATAGTTGCTTAATAGAGGGTGGGTTTTTTTTGGTTCCTAGAAGATATTTTTGAAAATTACTGTTTTATTTCACAGTTTCATACGAAGAGATCATGAAAGTCCTATAGTGTTATATGTGGTGCTGACTCCTGTGCATGATGAGCAAGTAGTAATACTATAAGCAAGATGGAAAAAAAAAAGGCAAAAAAATACTGTGCAAACTGTATCAGGTTCTTGTGGGTTTGTTTTGTTGGTCTTTTTTTTTTAATAGAGCTTTTTTTTTTTAAATGTAATTAGAAAGGAGGAGATCTGTAATACAGAGCACTGGATGCGGTTAAAAGTTTGCTCCCTTCACACTTTTCTCCATTTTGCTTGTCTTTGAAAAGAAGTACTTGTGAAAACACCAGGATAAATTTCTGATAATCCCCCAAAAAATTAAAAACACACAAACTAAAGATGGCAGAGTTGAAAATGATGGTCGATTATGGCTGCTAGTGATAAACCTTAGGGTTTTTTTTTTTCTTCTTGCTCTAAGAGCTTCTGTCAAAAAGCTGCTTGAAAATCTTTTCTTTTTTTTTTCCCCACAAACAAGCATAGTATTTAATCATATTAAATAACATGATATATATTAAATAACATAATAATTAACATGATATATGTAGTCCAAAATATAGAATAGGTTCAGCTGACATACTGTGATTTGTTCTCTAGAATACTGTCTCTGGCAGGAGTACTTAGAATTGCTAAATTCTGTTGTTGCTGTTGGAGACTCACTGGTATGAGTAGACTTAAGCCCTCATAGTCTGTTCTCTACTTTTTCTCACTTAACTATTCATCTTGACTCATTTCAGCGTAACACTAAGATGTGTCCTGACTACAGGCTTCCCCTTTTTCTCATCAGATGATATTAATAAGGTGATATCCTCAAATTTTAACTGAACTAAAGGGAAATGTCAACAAGTCTAATACATGTCTTGGGAAAAAATCTTGATAGGTAGTGAATCTGTTTAAAGATTAAAAAAAAGTCCCATTTGTTAATTTCATGTAGATTTAATTGAAAATGAAGTAGATGTCCAGGTATATTTCACTGTATGGATAATGCAGCAGGTAAAACATACTAGAAAAACTAGTATTCTGATTGACTGTGCAGTTTGAAACATGAAAAGATTAATTTGTAGATGATGTATCACACTGCATAACATGGAGAATGTGTCTAGATAGTAGGATTCCCAATTGTTAAGCATGAGCTGTAGTTCTGTTACAGCTCGGTGTAATGCGGTTTGTATCATCACCCACAAGTTAAAGCAGGGATTCCTTGCAAATTTTTGAGAAGCTTTTTAATAGAATGCAACTCATCTTAAAAACTTTTTTTTTCTACAGTAAGCTGAATTAAGAAAAAACTTTAAAAAAGGTTGATACCTTTCCCTTCAAAACTGTGACAAGTAAAGATAGTTTTTTGTGGACAGTCTATGACAACTCAGTAACATTTCAGTTGGTTTTACAAGCGTGACCTTCTGTAGCTTAGGAGCCTGGCTTTCCTTTGCCTTTGCATAATTTCGGATGTCGTGGCAGCATCAGCTTCCTGCTATTGACTAACCTTTAGATTATAAGCTTGGAAGTGAATTTAAATCTTCATGATCTCTGCCTAATGACTAGTGTTTAGTCAGCATATGTTTGTCTTTGTGTGCATGCCCATGGTTTACAGGAAGGATGTAAAGGGAGGTTTGAGAGGGTTGGGGTAAGAACGAAGTCTGGACCTGATTCAGCGGTAAGTATGAGCACACAGGGATCTAACAGCCTAGCTTACCTGCAGTAACAGAGCACCTGGGCTTTATTTAGCATGAGTGTGCAAAGGTGAGTGCTTCCTAAGGAAGTATCGTGGGTAAATGTAGGAGGAGGAAGGAAGGGAGGTTTAATAGCAAGCAAATTAAAGGACAGGGAATAAACATAGCCCTAAATTAATATTTTGCGTCTGGTTTTACTTCTACAGTACTCAATCCAATTCAGTTGTCTTCTGTGATTTCTCTGTGCCAGTTGTAGAACTTGGATGTGTTTAAGAGTGTAGTGGGAGATGTAATTGCAGTACCTGTAGGCATACCAGAATTGGCTTTCATCAGTTTGGGCTACTTGCCCAAGTAAATAAACACAAGGTGGACTTGCACTGCTGAGGCTGCTGCATGTACTGATACAACATCAGTGCTTCCCTTACCTTTAATCTAGTTAATGAAGTAATTCAGGCCTTAAATGTGCTGCTGCACCCCAATGACAGCGTAGGCATATTCCTACCCACAGTAAGGAGTGTCAAGAAAAGATGACCCTATTAGTCATGTTCCTGTTCAGAGAGAGTCCTCATCCTGATCTTTTGGAGCTTGATCTTCTTGTAGTTGCCACTTTGGTGAAACAGCTAAAGCATCCAGCTTCAGCTGCACTGAGATTCCATCTATTGGATGCTGCTCTCACAATCCCTGAGGCTAGCATTTTTGGAAATCTCTGCCAGTATCTCCAATTTCTTGGATTCAGTAAATCTAATTAAGGTGCTATATATAAGACTAACCCGCACATTTCTTTTATCTCTAACTTAGTAAATAGCGACTAGTTTGAACGTTGTTAACTAGGAAATAACAAGGGCAGTCTTCTTTTTTAATAGCTTCATTTTGAAGCCTGTGCTATAAAATTTCCATTCCCTGACCATCCAGTGTTTTTCAGTGATATTTTTTATTTCTGGCCTTTAAAACAGGGACTTGTATTTCTTGCTTCTCTTGCATAATTCTTAGATGTATCTGAGGCTTGGAAGGGCACAGTAAATCCCGTTTTCAGTCTTATTTCCGAAGAGGTTAACAGCCCCACATAGAGGCTACTTGGAGTTTTTCAGAAAGCGGCAGTACTGCTGCAGGCAGGTAATCTCCCTCTAGCACTGGCCAGGCATTTCTGATGGCTGAAATATTTCAGCAATGCTGAAAAATGTTAAAAATATCTAAGACAAAAGATTTTGCAGATTCCTTCAGGTTCTCTGAATTCCTTTCTGCAGGTCATAATATAATGCAGATTTTGTTTAAAAAAACAAAACAAAACCACCTTGCTGGCTCAACACTTGTTTCTTTTAAAAGAATTTCTTCGGTGTTCTTCGTCGTTTTGAACAACAGTTCTAAAATGCTGAATATAATCCTTGTGTTAATTTATATCGAACAAGAATCTGGTTATAAAAGAACTTGGAAGTTTAAAAACAGTTGCTTAATGTACATTAACTGCTCAGATGCTGCAGTCCTTTTTTTTTTTTTTTTGAAGTTAGAAAAATGAAGCTAGAAAAATGTATTTGGTCATACCTGCATGGGCTCTCACAGCTTTTTCTGTAATCACTCAATTTGTGTATGAGATGAAGCTCAGCTTGCACTATTCTAGAGCACTCTGCATAGTCGAGTGGCTGAGCAGTTTTATTGTTTTGAATGACATTATCAGAATTTCTCTAATCTTAAGTGGTACCGTTATTTATTTGTGGACATGGATAGAATGGGCCTTTCCTTAAATTGACAGGACAACATACACGTCTCCTCTGCCAGTAGGTTTAGCTGATGCATGTTTAATGCTGAGCATCCTTTCAAGATTGAAAGTGGATAGAAATTGTTGGTACTGAATAATATAGAAAACCTTCAGCCCCGTTTCAGTTCAGAAGGTGATGAGCAGCTTTAAAAAAATCAGTTACTTGCAGAAATACCTCATTTGTTGTTCACGTGGTTATTAGCTATGCAAATTTGAAAGTCATGGTTGTACTTTACTGTATACCTTGAGAGCTACCAAGTCCTGTGCAGATAGTGTCTGTAAGCTTCCAAGTTGCTGAAGGACAAGAAACAAAGACAAATACCTAGCTTCATAGCTGACATGAATGCTAGCTTCTTTAGGTCTAGTAAGTAAATGTTGAATTATTGCTTGCTTTGCAGAGAGCTTGCTGTGTCTTGTGGTAATGTGTAAATGTCGTTTGCAAAATCACATGTCATACCATGACTTTAAATCATGCTAACATCGCCTGTTAATTGTTCATCTCCAAGCTTGGGCATAAATGCTTTCTGATTATAGCCTGATTTTTGCACTGTGATTGTAAATAAAGATAACAGTACTGGCATATAGCATTGTTTTAATTAAAGATTATGTTTTTCTTTTTTCTGCACAGATGATCGTGTGGTTGGAGAAAATGCTAGATAAAATAATCAGCATTTTCATAATATTTTTGCTAGTGATAGGAACCCTTCTTCTAGCCCTGCTTCTTACTGCAAAGGTACAGTCTGCTAAAGAATGTAATCATGGAGCTTATTTTAAATACTGAATGAAAGTCATTGATATTTATTCAAAATTGTGTAGCTTAAAGAATGTTTTTAAAAATTTATCAGCTGAATGCCCTGTAAACTTGTTATCATTCTAAAACTTCTTATATGTAAAAATGTATTTATATTTATTTTTATTTATACGTTTATTTTCATGTGTGGCAAAACTAATATATAGATATTTGGAAAAAAGAAATCTTTTCTGGTGAAAGAATTACTAGCATATATGTATTACAGAAATAGATTTTTTTAAAATTGTTTCTTTGCATCTCATTCAACTTTTCTGGTTGGGGTCAGAGCCACTTAGAATTTTTTCTTTCTAATTTACCTTACATCAGAAACATACTTGGAAAATTCTTAAGGTGTATTTGTCAATTTGGTTGTGTAATTGTCTGTAATAAGCTCATGGTATTCTGTTCTGTGTTTAAATGTGCTGAGATTCATGTTCACATGTTCTCTGAAACAGATTTTTTGCTTTGTGGTTGGGGTTTGTTTTTTTCTCTCACCAGAAGAGGTCACTCATGTCCTTCTTTTTCCCCTTTTTTTTTTTTTTTTTTTTTTTTTTTTTAATACATGGAGCTGTGTTCATACTTGAAACTGTCAGTGGAGATTGAATGTTTGACTTGAACACAGTCAACAAAAATCAGTGGGTTCTGATGTCAATCTCCTTTTTCCAGAATGTAGGCTTACATAATGTTAAGTACGTAAAATTGAAAGCTTTAAAAGTTGTGCAAACGTTCCTGCCTAAAGCTTCCTTTTATTCATAAAAGGAACATCAAGATATTTATAAATGGTATCTTTCATCATTCTTACTAAAGAATTAATTTGGTGAGGCACTTTGTAGCATGGTTGGTCATGTTAGAGCTGAGCATTCATTAATTTTTACACTTCTTTGATCCGTGGCTTAAAAAAGGTGTATCTGAAACTGTGCTTTGTATTTTAATACTTCCCTTGACAGCACTGCTGTGTTGTTAGAATTTTTTCCACTGTGAGATAAGGTTTAAATTTCCATTTGCTATTACTAGTCACACAGTGTATGACCAAAATTGTCAGAAGAGACTGATGATTATTGTGTTGTATTGATAATGTTTAAATTCTGTTTGCTATTACTAGACACACAGTGTGTGGCCAAAATTGTCAGAACAGACTGATGATTATTGTATTGACCTTTTTTTTGGGTTAATGGCACTTCATTCTTCATAATGGGTTGTCTCCGTTGGAAGAATTAGTCTTTAAATGTACAAAATGGTCACACCCCCACACGCACCCCCAAACCCCATCCCCACCCCCCAGAAACCTCTCTTTAGTTTGCATTACATAACATTTCTCCTCTCTGTATTTAATTTAGGTACATCAAGAGAGCGTTCACATGATTCAAGTCACAAGCAGCTTGATCAATGAGACAGTAGCCAGTCACCCAGAATGGGCAAAGTAAGAATGCTGAAGTTAAGCAAATAGTATAGGGTGGATGAATAAGCTTCTAGGTGCTTATGCGTACTTTTTAATTTAAAAAATGCCGTAGGTGAACAGAAATGGGAGTGACTGCTGCAGGTAGATGTAAAAGCTAAACTCTTAGGCAGCAGTAGAGGTTATGCGTTACGCTGGAGGACTGTCGATGTGGTATCTTATTTGAGGACTGTCTGGACTTTGGTGGAGAAGGACAGCTGTATAAACTTCTCTAGTAACAGTTTTGGAGAAAAACTTACATAGTGCAGAAAGTAAAGAGGTCGATGTTCTTTTCCCTTTTATCTGTGAAAGCAAAGTATTGTCAAAGAATGCTCTCTGTAGAAAGTTGCGAGATGAGAGCTGAATTATTTTTTTTCAACACGGAGAACTGGCTGTGGAATGCCTTCGAGGGAGTAGGAGTTGAGGAAAATGTTTTTGGAGTGAACTGAAAAAGGGTTTGAGGTTGGAAAGAATGGTGGTTGGGGAGAGTCTGGTATCAATCAGTTGGGAAAGGCTGTTCCTATTCACAGTAGATGTGTATAGTTTACACAGTGAAAAGTTTGTAAGACACGGTCTATATAATGATTAAAGCAAACATGAAGGCAAATATTAAGGGGGAGAGAGGGTTTTAAGAGAAATACATATAGAGAAGGATAATGCACACTGGTGAGCAAAGGAGTGATTGCATGAGCAGCGGACAGGGAATAGGTAAGACTGAGCAGTGTGATTTTTTTATTTTTTTTATTTTTTTTTTTTTTTTCCCACTTACCAGGAAAAAAGAACTGTCCTCCTGGACAAAAAGGGTTGACTTCTTTCACGGGCGTTTTCTAAACAAAGATGATAGTGGCTTAACAGGATTGAAAAAAAAAGTGCATGCTGTATTATAAGAGCAAGAGAACTTTTCAAAAACAGAAAAGATATGGTTAATAAATGCTATGGTAATATATGTGCTTTAGCAATACTTAAGTAATCACAATCAAGAGAACAGAAAGCACTTAAGTGTGTTTATTCTTTCATGGCATCTCTAGTATTGTTTGGCCTTTCTGTTTTTGCCGTATGATGGAAATAATTAGGACTAATAGAAATTGAAATTTGACTGTCAGAAGCTTATTCACATAATGAAAATACTGGAGTACTAGTTGAGTAATTAGCAGAACTCTAGCTAAAATTTTTACTTCCAGTGTTTGCATCCAAATTTGAAGCACGCAAAACAGTGTCTTTCAATTCATTAGAAGCAAGTATACCTCTTGTCAAATCAGCTTTTGTAGCTTGATGCTCACATTACATTTATAGGTGAGTGACTGAAATGTCTTGGAATTCAAATGCAGGGCATTTCTGAAGGGTTGTACAGACAGAAAAGCTTCCATGTTGAACTTCAGTCAGGTGAACAAATGCAGCAGTTTTATTTCCTGAATGCTTTCTTGTTTTGGAAGGGCTCCAACATGTGCCATTGAATCAAGAGGTAGAAAGAGAATGCAGAGAACGTGTGCCCTGTATTTGCAAGTGTTGGAATGCTGGCAACTCATTGCTTGAAAGTGACACAAATCCCTGAAGAAAGTCATGAGCAGATATTTTGGTGGGGACTTAGAAATAACTGGTGCCCAAACCTGTTGCTTTGTCTGGTTGCTTTTTCAGGGAAACTACACTAACAACTTAAATTCAGTTCATAATTCAGAAGGTTGTCTTTCCAGCTAGACCAGGCTACTTCATATAGTATTTCCAGAAAACTAGAACACAAGGAAAATTTCTAGGAAGGTTATGTGAATAGCACACATAGAGATTGAAGAGCAGATCTCTTGAAAAGGTCAAGATACCAATTTAAGGTTTCAGGAACCTTGGAGAATGCAATGATGTGCCCTAGATTTAATTGTGCTTTGCTTACAAGAAAGCCTCTTCTTTGATATGTAGAACAAATTATTCTAGTTATAGTAAGTTTATATGTATTTAACCTTTCCTTTGTTGTTTCAAATGTTAATTTCTAATGTATTTCATGTATATGGAAATGGGTAAAATATGTAACAGTTAACTTTGTTTTCCTTCTTTAAAAAATAGCTGGCTCCCAGAAGCCCAGGTTATTCAGAAGGCACTCAATTCAGCAGCTAATAATGTCTACCAATATGGCCGAGAATGGATCACACATAAGGTAAGAGTGAGCTTCCCCACCTGTTTTTAATGTTTTCATTTCTTGTATTTCATACAAGTCAAAAGAAATAAAAAGGTTTTTGTCAGTGATTCTTTTCTGTGTTGTTAACCATTTTGTTGACAGATCTATTCTTTCCACTCTCTCATTTGTGAGTTGAAGAAAGGGTGGGAGTGATTTCAGTAGTCTTTTCTGCTCAGAGGAGTATTTATTTTTAAGAGCTGAAAAATCTGTCATCATTTAAATAAGATTGCCAGTGAAAATGCATCAAATAAAGATGAGCGATTTTTTTCATCTGGCTTTAGCTGTCCAATTTTAGGCAATCTAGACTTTTTTTCCTCCCATCAGTATTTTAATTTCTATGTGGGCTGGGTGTGGTAGATTGGATTTTTTTTTTTTTTAATTCTAATTTATTTAAGTTAACTTTCTTCAGGAGAATATGCCAAGATTCTTATTTATACATTTTGATATCTAGCACACACATCTCAAATTATTTGAAACATTTACTCTAAATATGATCAAGGATTTTGGATTAAGCATTTTAGAGACAGCATTGGTTTTTCAGTGCAGAAAGAAATCCTCAGTTTAGTGCAGCAGAATGTTTTTTACAGACAAAATCTTCATGTTGTGAACCATGTTGTCTGCAGCGTGTATTCCATACTCATACTCAGCTTTTCTAGTAATTTAGGTTTGGGCCATGCCTTTACATCTTATGTGATTCATCTAGCTTAGAATTTGTCAGTAGATTCTGTCCTGTATAATAAAAGCTTTCTATGTTTTAGCTCCATAAGATTTTAGGAGAAAAAGTGAATAACACCGCTGTGATTGAAAAACAAGTGCTAGAGCTCTGGGACAGGCTTTATCATTCATGGTTTGTGAAGGTAGGTAACTTAAATAAGTGGTATTTCTGTAAACTATCACTTAGTGCTTAGAGGTAATTGTGCTAAATGTGCATTTCTAAGGAAGAGATTAGCAAAAAGTTGGAAAGCTGAGTAAAGGTCATAATAATAAAATGTTGGTAAAAATTTCCTGTATATAAGATAGACCAATCTACAGTCACAGTTTAGGTACGGCCAGAAGTGTGTCCTTCGCTTAAGTAATTATGTATGTTTTTATGTACACCATTTAATTTATCCTTTGCTCACTTTTTATGTTTAGTATTTCATAGTTTAGAGCTTTCTGTTGAATTTTCAGCATCTTGAGGGGTTATGAGAAGGAAACTAGTATTCTACATGGTTTGTGTACTTTTTAATAATTTGAAATTTTCGGAAAGAAATTAATCCTTTCACTAAGTTTCTTACAATGCATTTTTGCCAACCGTACTAGCCTTTCTATAATGGGTTCCGCACACTGAATCTTGAAAAGGTCATAAGAGTTAAATAATTTTCATGCTGCCAATGCTCTTTGCCTTTTAAAGGAAAAAAAACAAGCAATACATTAGCCAGGGTGCAAAGGAAATATCAAAATCCAGAAGTCATACCCCTGAAATACTTCTCTATATTTAATTAATTTCAGTTATAGTATATTAACTCTTTTGTTTATACAGTCGTTTTTAAAGTACCGCTACAGTTCCAAGAAGATCTCTGTATTAAAAGAAATAAGAGCTTCAATATAGTAATCAAAAATAGTAGGAAAAGAATCGGTTTCTTTTTCTGACATGATAATGCTGTGTGTGGAGAGATAACATGACAGTGCTGAGCAATATGGGATCACTCAGGAGAAATAGAAGCTGTATCTGCAATAGATTTTGCTGGCCTTAGGCACTTGGGAGTATTCAGCGTTAAATGCTTGACTGAGAGAAGTGCCTGCTTTAGATACAGCCATACTGATAAGCCTGTTGCTTTTGCTAATATAACTCGTGTGTCAGATGGTCCGTGGCTCTGTGTGGTTCAGAAGGGCTCCCTGGCACTGGGTGTGCTGTAGGAGTACTTCTCTTGCTGCAGTGTGCAGCACCAGTGGTGTCTCTCTTCATTGCCTGATGTGATTTCTCTCCTGCAGCTGTTATTTGAGGGAATAAATACTATGAGGCCTTTCTCTTGTAGATACTCTTCTGGTAGGGTAAGAAACAGCTTTCCTAGCAATCAAAATGGCAGAAAGAGCTGCAGGAACGAATTGATGCTCGTTGCCTACAATCTTGAAGTCTGTTCCCCTGGCTGCTGTTTGCATACTAAAGATCTTATTTTACCATTGGCATTCTGGGCTGCAAATGATTATCTGTGGGCTGCTGGTAGCTCCTTCAGAGTCTGTTTCTAATCTTGCCCCTTCTGTCACGCTCCATATCCTTGTAAATGTCTCATCAGAGTGCCATCCACCTGGCTATTTCCTTCTGTAATATGGCATTATAGCCTTGCATTGTCTTTCAGTGTATCTGAAAACTGATAAACTAGATAATAGTGCAGTGTGGAGGACATCTGTACCGTATCGAACTCTCTCAGTACAGCTTTCAAGCTTCCTGCTGTTTCAGTTGTATGAGCATAATAATTACACTTCATTTTGAGGTCTGCGTGGTGGTGTTGTAGGTGACTGAAAAACGCAGGCTCAGGTGATACTCTTCTATGAAAGCTGTAGAATTGAGGAGGAATTCCCAACAAAATGTGGATTCAACCGTTAACTGCTGCTTTCTGAGAAGATCAGTAGATAGCAAATGGTGTATATTTTAAAAGGTTCTAGAGTTGTGATAGAACAGTTACCGTTGCATTCATGTACCCGATGAAGTAAAATAGTACAGAATAATAAACCACTTAGAAGGTGGTGGCATACAATCAAGGTCTCTTTTTCAAGGACAAGTATCCCCTCTTCCTAGTCCGTTCAGGTGTGGGGTTTTGTTTTTAAGGTCTAGTGAATTTGTTGAAGATGAACCAGTTGACAATTTCTTGGAAACCCTTATTTATCAATGCCCCACGACTTAGATGCTACAGCAGTATAGTTGCTGAATAACAATGAACTTGAAAAGCATATTATTAACAACGGTACAAAATTTGCAAATGATACCTAATTCTGATATTAATGGTGAGAGCTGTCTTTGAAAATAGAACTAGCTGAACAGCAAATAGGCTTGTGTTAGAATTTACAAATGCAGAAGGCCTATTGGAGGGAAATTTTTGACTACTCAGATATTTCAGCTCTAAATAAACTGCCAGCTCAAAAGAAAGATCTCTGTGTTGCTGTGGATTGTTAAAGAGTGTTGCTAATTGGGTATCATCAAGTGTAACAATGCATCTGGGGAGAATTGTTAATAAGCAGAAAATGTAATGCTCTTAGATAAATCAGTGCAGGGACTCCACTTGAACTACTACTTGCCATGTATGCCTAAAAAGATACTGTCATTTTGAATGGAGGTTGGTAAGGTTAAAATTTTTTGTAAAATTCTAACGGTAGTAGTGGGTCACTTGTATACATATCAGAGTTGAGAACTGAAAAAGTCTCTTGATGCTAAAGATTAGGATGAGACCTGTTGTAGTCAACAGGTTTGCTTAGACTTGCTTACGGTAGAGTTCTGGCATCCTTCTCTGAAACACTTGTCACAGTCCCAGACAGAGTTAAATAGTCTCATGCTAGATGTGACTAGTGTGACTCAAGTGTGACTCAGTTGGACAATAGGCGACTTCATAATTAGGGTAAGGCCACTTAAGGAATTGGCTGTTGAGGTTATGGCCATTACCTGTTGTCTTGCTGGGTTGGAGTTACAAAGCTGTGTAGTCAGAAGAAATCCTCCATGCTTCCAGTTCAGCTTTCAGCTTTTGCATGACTGAACTTTGCCAGTGGAGAAGTAGACACTAGTTGCGAGAAAACTATTTATTATGACTTCTGCTTGTATTTACCTTTGTGGGTTGTACTGGGAAAAGTTGTGTGTTGCAAACAGTAAACTATGTACTCAGTAACTGAAATTGTTATCTCTTCCTTGTGAGCTTTCATAAAGAGCAAGATGGATACCATTGTATCAGTCAAGCAGTAAAGCTAATGTTTAGCTGAGGTGAATCAGTACAATATACAGAACTGTAATTATACAGAATAAGTTACTACGGCTTTCTGTCAGATGTTAATTTTTCTAGTGTACAGAGTAGTTCCAGGTATTTTTGAGGATGCCAATTAAAGCAGCTCTAAGTATTTAGATGCATGTTGGATCTATTCCTCATTAAGAAGACATTAGTCTTTGGCTTTCTCATATCTGTAAGTTATTCAAGTGTCTGTTTTCCTTACATCTTTGTCTCTCTTTTTAAGAATGTAACGCATTCTGGAAGACACAAAGGACACAAATGGCATATAAACCGCCAAAACAGCTGGCTTGGTGATATTCTGGACTGGCAAGATGTTGCATCATTTGTTCATGATAACATTGAAACATTTCTTTCGGTATGTATCCTTTGCCCTTATTACCAAATTGGTCTCATTTTTAACTGATAACAATTCCTCCTTGGACTACCCGTAAGATACATGGGAAATATGGAAATGCTGTTAGTGTCACTTAGAATTACCAAAGCGATTATTGTAAGCCTACTTAGGATATAAACATACTACAAACAGAACTGGTCATGAAGAAGAAGCCTTCCTAATGGCAGCATCTTCATTAATGTTGCTCCCTAGACTTCATTCTGAAAGAGATTCTTACTGTAAGATTACCTGTGTCACCTGCAAGCTGGTTTTAAATGCTTGATGTTATCTAGTCTTTTTAAAAAAGAGACAAATTTGTTTAGGTAATAATTGAGGAAACTATTGGCTAAGAGGCTGTGAAAACAATTTTTTTTTTTTTGTAGTCTTACTTTTTTTCCCTCAAATTATTATTCATTGGGTTGAAAGCAGCTTATTTCTCTCTTCTTTTATGAAAGTTCTGCCGAGAATGAAATTAATATTTTACACTATGTGAATTCCTGAATTAATGCACTGAACCTTTCACCTCATGAGGAGAAAAAGAAAAAGCATTGCAAGCAATACAAACTGAAGCAAATACACTTCTCTTAAAAATCATATTGTCTGAAATGCTTAATATAGAGTCAATCCCTGATGTAGCTCAACTTTGACTTGAGCTGTTGTCATAAACTAGAATTATCTTCCGGTTAATATTTATCCATTTTGGAAGAATATTATTTATACCTGACTCGCAACATAACGTTTCCATGGGTGCAGTTAAAGCTGGTATTTGTCTTGAGGCCGTTCTTGGTTTAGACTGATGGGCGTGTGTGCTTCTTCTGTTGCGTCCAACCCTCCCACTCTCCCCCCAACTGCTGTTTAAATGGTTACAGTTTCTGTCATAGAAGATGATGTGAGTTAATAAAAAGTTGAAACTTTTTATTGCAGTGAACCTTTTTTCAGTTAATTGTGAAATTTGCTTAATACTTTCTCAAATTTGACCATGCATGCTTGAGGCAGAGTTATAAAAATGCACAAAACATCATCATTTAAAATCAATATGGAGTTTCCTTCTAGGCAAGAGAGAGAGGAGGAGAAACTGCATGATAAGTGCTAGCCATGTCATTTATAGCATTGCTGCACACTGCTCAGAAACCGTGATAAGTCTGCTTCAATAAACTAAATAGGCTAGAATAATGCAGGAAATAGTGTAAAGAGAATAAATATTTTAGACTGAAATATATAAATATTAAAATTTTCATCTAGCTAGCACGCTTTGTTTTGTTTTAGAAGTTCAGGAAAAAATGTGCCAGCAGTTGACTTGCTTTCCTGTTTATTTCCATGGACTCATTACTCATCGGCTGTGGGGAAACACCTGTCCTTTTTCTCCATACACTCATGTCCGTAAAGACAGACTGTAAACCAGTCAGCGTAGTGGATAGCTCTAAATCCTGATTTCACATCCTTACTGGGCAACAGTTTCTTTGCTGGCTTGCTCATCTGCAGTGCGTTGCATAAATATTACTCACACTGATATGTCAAATTAAAATTGATGAAAATCTGATTTCTATGCTTGTTTAGGCTATTGAAAATTGGAGATGATGAAAATGAGAACAGTTTTCAGTTAAGTCTGGTATTTCTGGTGCTTATCTACCCTGGGATACAATGGAAGCTAACTGTACTAGGGATTTATGTTTTTATCAGAGCATGGAAGTCTTTCTTTCAGTATTTTGAAGAAGAATAATGAGTTATTAGAATGGCATACTAAATTGGGAAGGATCAATATTTTAAATTACATGGGTGCTTTTGAGTGGGGGTGTTTTGGGGAGTTTCTTTTTTCTTTGGGGAGGATTTTGTTTGGTGGTTTTCTAGATTTTTTGTTTGCTTGTTTGTGTTGCGTGGGACTTTGGGTGGGAATTTTTTTTTTTTTTTTTTTTTTGGTTGAGTTTGTTGTTTAAGGTGGGGGTTGGTGTGTGTGGGGTGTTAAATAGGTTCACTGTAGTTCAAACTGTAGGATGTTTCTGCAGTCAGTCACTGAGAGGAACTGCTCTGGAGCATCCCCCCCCTCCAAAAAAAAAAAAGGAAAAAAAAAAAAAAATCCACATATGGCAGTGGTTGGTGGGGAGCGCCTTGAGGTAACCCCCCCCCCAAAAAAAAAAAAAAGGAAAAAAAAAAAAAGCAGCCTGGGGATGGCGAGTGACCAGGAGCACTGCCATCAGAGCAGGCAAACAGAGCGTGAGGTGTCAGCCAGGGCTTGACACAACAGTTTGCATGAAAGGGCACACAGGAAGGATGTAGCCACCCTACCAGCTCAGCTCAATTCAGGTGAGTTCAGTTGCTGGTCATCACCCTCTCCAGAAGGAGCTCAGCTATGGTATCCACCCAGTGGAAAGATACGTCTTCTGCGCTTGCCAGAACACAGCTCGCACAAAAACATGTGCAGCCATCCAGGTGTTGGGCTGCAGGGAGTGCTAGAGCCTTTCACTGGTAAGGGATGGCAGTAGTGACAACAGCTGGGTGAGATGGGACCAGCTGGACGATCTGCTCAGCTTGGTGGCAGTAGAAAGTTTAAGGACCGTCAGGGAGTCAGAGGTGGAGATAGACAAGTGGATCCGTACTCTACCCTCCCTAAGACAAATGAGAACAGCCACCAGAAGAAACCCAAGATCAAGGGGATCTTGTATCCTCCCTCTGCCAGGCTGAAGGAAGTAGCTTAAAGAGGAAAGGAGTGAATGGAGACAAGTTCACACTCAGGGTGGCAGGCGAATTTTTTTTTTGCTCTGGTGAGACCCACCTGGAGTACTGCATCCAGCTTTGGGGCCTCCAACATAAGAAGGACAGTGACCTGTTGGAGCAGGTCTAGAGGAGACCCACAAAGATGATCAGAGGGCTGGAGCATCTCTCCTGTGAAGACAGGCTGATAAGAGCTGGGGTTGTTCAGCCTGGAGAAGAGAAGGTTCTGGGGAGACCTTATAAGGCCTTTCAGTACATAAAAGGGCCTACAGGAAAGGTGGGATCAAACTTTTTAGCAGGATCTGCTGTGGTTGGACAAGGGGAAATGGTTTTCAACTAAAAGACAAAAAATTTAGACTAGATATAAAGAAGAGGTTTTTTTCACGATGAGGGTGGTGGAAACTGAAACAGAAACAGGTTGCTCAGAGAGGTGGTAGATTCCCCATCCCTGCAAACATTCAAAGTCAGGTAGGCTGGGCCTCTGGGCAACCTGATCTAGTTGAAGGTGTCCCTGCTCATTGCAGGGAGGGTTGGACTAGATGACCTCTAGAGGTCCCTTCCAGTCCAAACTATTCTGTGATTTTTGTGCATCTGGACACTTGAAATCAATGCTAACCTGCAGTTCTTAAGAATATAGTAAGACACGGTACACTGCCAAAACCACTTTGACAGTTTTTTAAAATACAAACCATCGAAAGACAATGAGTAGCGTAGATCTGTCTAACAGTGTAGATAACAGTGTCTGTGTCTATGCAGCTGTAGTGAGATTTCTTCCACCTTTGAAAAGAATACATTAAGATTACACTACTTGCACATAATTAATACTTCTGCGTAGATTGAGGCTAGAGTTTACCATAGAATAACTATAACTGTTTTACTAGTCCCTTGGCTTTCTGAAATATTTTTAAGTAGTTCAGATTACTCTGTATTCTCTGAAAATACAGCTATTCAACAGTGTCATACTGCAATCACAAGCAGGTAAGCTCTTTTCCGTTGATGGAAATCGTAGAGAAGTGTTCATCCTTGAAAGTGAGAGAAGGAGCATTTGTTGTAAGAAAAGTGTTAAGAGAACAAAGATGTAAGTGTTTCACTTCAGGCTTTTCCCATAGTGGGAGAAACTTTTGTATTAGAGTTGAAAGCATATAATTAAATCACTGGTGTAGCTGTGCTGGGAAATTTTTGGCATTCATTTGGTTTGTAGTATGCCTCAATTCAGTGCTTTAACTATGGGTATCAGATAAAGCCCAGAAGACTTCTGTACCCCCTTCAAAATGTGCTGTTCATTACAGTAGTTTTATTTAGCTCTAGTTTGATGTAGACAGACCTTAATTATTTTAAAGGCTCTAGTTTGATGTAGACAGACCTTAATTACTCTTAATTACTTAATTCACTCTATAAACATATAAATTGCCTGAAGATTTAATATGAAGATAAGCTTTTCCAAATCATCACTTTGCTTTTTTCTAAAAGCTTTAGTGTTAACAGCACTGATGGCTTTCAGCTTCAGATCTGTCAAAGAATTTTTTAAAAGCAGTAATGTTATAGACCAGTTTATCCAATGAGGTGTTTTTGAGGTGGGGTTTATTTCATTCTATTATTAGTTCGGGGAAAGAACTAGGGTGGGTTCTTTTTAATGCCTAAAATTTTGCACACCATGCTCCAATCTGAGGTAGTTTTTCAGGTGAATAAAATATGCAATACATAGCTGGACTATTAAGATTTAATTTCTGAAACATAAAAAAGCCTCTTTCCTTCTCCACTTACCTGCTTTTCCATTCATATCCTTTTCCTTTATTTCTTGAAACCTCGAAACCTTGAAAAAGTAAATTGCTGCTGGCTAAATTTGTGAATGATCACTCAGAATTCCCTTGAGGGTATTTGAGACATTGCTAATGTCTCCTTAAATTGATCTTTTTGCTTCTTGCACAAGAATATTAATCATTCCACCAGCAGTCATTATCTCATTCAGAGATTTCCCAGACAGGAAGACAAAAGACCTTCCATTAAGATGTACACATCAAGCTTCAGCTCAGTTAGGTTTCTCTATCTGTGCCTTTAGCATGACTGATCTGTGTGTTCCAAATCAAGTCAGATTCTCAAATATTTCACTGAGTTATCATATATCGTAATGTTTTCTCTGGCCCTGAGAATTTCTTCAAGTAATCTCCTAAGTTTATAGCTAATACAGTCCATTCTTCAGTAATAGTTCAACTACCGTGCCTTTTTTTTCTAGTAAGGTAAGAGTTCAGCTGTTTGGTGTTATCTTCTTCATA